CGTTCATATATTGCGAGTTATGAAATTCCCTGTATAATTATTAATGCCTTATAGTTATTTCAAACACGTTTTACAGCGCCATCTATTATTTCCCCCCCAAAATAATCACTCCAAGGTTATGCAACCAAATATGCATCAACGCAATTTGGGTTGCCTAACTTTTTTTGTACTTTAAATAATTAACGGTTAACTTATTTCATTAAAATTGATATAATTAATATTAAATTAACTATTTTTCGTGATTTTCATTCAAATTAGTGCAATTTTTTCATCTTATAATTAATATTAATTCTTTTTAATATTTTATTAATTTATTTATTTTTTTAATTTAAAAATTTTAGAGGTTATCTTTGTTTGAATCAGGTACTGTGTTAAGTGGCAAATTTAAATTGTTTTTAAATTAACTCTAATAAGACACAATTGAATGCTCTCAAAACCAATTTAAGAGACAAAAATCCCTTTTTTTTGTATTAATTAATTTTTGTCGCTTACCATTAATGATTTATTTGAGTTGCACCAACACCATGAAGTAGGTAACGGTCGCTCCTAACACCTAAAACAACCGAAAACGAATTATTATCAAAAAAAATTGATTAAATTGATTAAGGTTGTTACCGAAGCGAATAAATCCAACGAAATCGTGAAGAATTTCGCCCCGGAAATCGACATGGCCTTTTGACACTGTTGGCAAACGATTTGCACGAAAGTTTTTGCCTCCTCAGATCCATCGTACCAATGACAGCTATACGCCGCCTCCATAACTGAGGAGCTCTCCTCAATTAACCGGTTTCCAAAGATACAAAATAGAAACACTTGGGCCAAGGCGTAAAATAAGTACCCCAAAACGGTTAAGGCATACTTTGAAACACTATCAATCTAAAATTAAAAAAAAAATCATTTAGACTTAGACATAAATGATCAAAAAAAATTACCTTAGTGGCTTGATAAGCCAGCAAAGTCAAAGTGATAGTAGCTGTCAACATGTGAAGGAGAAGCGCGATTCCGTACGCATCTCCAATTGCAGTTACCAATCTAAAAAAATAAATCAATTAATGACTTGATTAAAATTAAAAAAATTAAATTTACCTAACGACGTGTTTATGTCTTTCAACCCAATACTTAATCGCAGATCGAACCAACAACTCCTGCTTTTTAGTTAACCCATTTGGTCCAATTCCCCCACCGCCGCTATCGAATTGTTGCAAATTACCCCCACGGTAATTAATCCCCATCTCCTGATGAGTACTATAAATCCCTTTCAAATTTAGCTCGTCATTCTTCATATTGTTATAATCCAAGGCGTCGTTATCAATTAAATTATCCTGAGAATTAACGCTCGGCGCGCGGAACAAATCGGCGCTCTTCGGGACGTAAGTATCCAAGGTGGCGGAGAGTTCCATCAGGGGTTTCATGATTTCTTTTAAGTGTTGGAGTTGTTCGCACGCGAATATTAACCAACAGCAGAATAGGACGTCGAGGAGGTTGGAGTGAAGCATCGAGAATAAGACGTAGTAGACTTGGTAGGATAAGGAGATGTAGTATTTCATTCCGGACATTGCGTTCCATGGGTAAAATGATTTTATTAGTAAGCGGGGGATCTCTTCGGTTATCGTTTCGTTTTCGTTGTTGGGGTCTTTGCGAGTGTGGGTGCTGTCCCCGAAAAATGTTATTGTAGTCCATGCTAAATAAATAAAAAAAAAAAAAGATTGGCATGGTTATTTTATACAATAGGTGGCTTTCTGAAGATGCCCTTAGGGCGAAACCGGTTAAAGCTAAATAATAGAAGATTTTCCATTGTTAAAGTGCAAAATTGTCTTTAATTTCATGGTTATTAAGATCTAACCAAAATACATTTTTATTTTGGTGATTGAGACCACACTGATCATCTACACTGATGGATCAAAGAAGGCTGGAGACTCCTCACCCACTTCTTGACCAGACACTGCAGGTTACGTAAGCATATGTTCTACATTAAACTTTTTGAACTTGGCTACCTAACCTCGCCTACTTAAGGGAATCCATTTTTGGCGTGCCATTGGCCCCAAATTTTGAATATAAAGCACTATGAATTAAGTACTATCAAGGAATTCACCCCCCATTTGAAATTACATACATAATTATACAACCAAAAAGACTTGGTGCCATTAGTTCCGGTTTAATAAATTGAGTAAGGTTAGTTTTGTTTATAAATGTCAATCATCCCAAAACAAAAACAGCTGATCACGGCCGTCTTCGAAGACGTCGGCCGACCCGAGGCATAGATTATGTAAATTCGGACCCAAAATTTCATGAAAGCCACCACATACCTAGAAACTGATAAGTGCGGCTAATGTCTTCAATAACATACTATTAGTTACTCCGTGAAGTCTTTACATGACTTCAATGTTCGAACTTTTGTTATAAATATTTTTTCTTTCTCAAACAATTTAGCAACTAATAAATTTAGCTACTAATAGGTTTGTTCGAGCAGCGGCAAAACCAATCTGCAAATTGGGAGACGCATGCGCAGTATGGTAAAGGTGTTCGAGCAGTAAATAAATCCCGAATTCTGACTTTTTCGACTACCAGTCGTGTGTTCGATCAGAATTTAGGATTAGTTGGGTACTGGTTGGGTATAGTTTTTACAATTTGCTGACTTTCGAAAAATTGTTGACGGATTGTGTACTGTCATGCGCAGTGGATACTTTGCGAGTTTGTTGGTAATAAACGTAGCACGTCGAGAGGGCGACACAATCGATTTATATTTGTAAACACAATATCCGCTTTATTAATCTGTAATTGTTGTTAACACGTTCTTAAGTACCTAGTATAAATCAGAGTATAAATAATCATGTCCGATATTTCGTCGTCAAGTGAAGATGTGCCTTTAGTAAATTTTGAGTCAAGTGATGATGACCTAGAAGGTGAATTACTTGATACACCAGTGCGAATAAGGCCAAAAAATGAAGAGTACTTCGAAATAACAGTACAACAGTATAGCGACTCAGAATTTATGGAACATTTTCGTTTGAGTAGAGTAGTTGCTGAAGATCTAGCAAATCGATTTAAAGCCAGCCAGTATTATAATTATCAAGCCGGAGGAAATGGAAAATTAACGGTGCTTTTGTGCGAGGCCTTGGTGTTAGCGCATTTTAATTATTGTGATACATTGTATGATCAGTGTATTTCGTATAGTAATACGAAAAAAATTCAGAAAATTCAAAATTCTTGCTTGCGCTTGATATTTGGGTTACGGGGGCGTCAGCATGTTTCGCACAAATTAAAGGATTTGAGTTGGCTCAACATGAAAAA